TCTATGATAAGTTTTTTGAACTCTTGAATGTACCCCAATAGTTGAGCTATGAAACTCCTGCAACAAATGAGGGATATGTGGTGGTATCCTCGATAACACAAATCGTCCATGGTATAGCAACTTCTGACCCATCAAGGAGTAACCAGTATGGTTATCCTTGTCCTGCAGTAAGTCTACTCTGATCTTACTCAGCTCCTCATCCTACTCGCTCTCACGCTTCAAGGCATCCCAATCCAACACCATGGGAACAAATAGAGCCATAATCTGAGGGTCTTCACTATGCCTAGAGAGATCATCTGCAGCTTTATTTTCCAACCTGGGCTTGTACTAGATCTCGAAGTCATAAACCAATAACTTCAAAAGCCATCGTTGATGCTCCTCTATCACCATCCTCTATTCTAATATGAACTTCATACTCCTCTAGTCGCTCCTGACTATGAAGTGTCGGCCCAACAGGTAAGGTTTCCACTTCTATATCGCGAACACTATTGTCATCAGCTCCCTTTCATATACTGATTTCAGTCTAGCCCTCGCAGTCAACCCTAGCTAACTAAACTATGGGTCTTTGACTCTGCATTAAAACTTTTCCCAACCCATATCCTGATGCATCAATCTCCACTACAAATGGCTAGTTGAAATCTGGTAGTGCTAACATAGGGACACTCGTAACGGCTTTCTTCAGCTGCTCAAATATCTGGGTGGCTACCTCCCCCCATTTGAACCATCCTTCTTCAATTGCTATGTCAACAGACATACTATAGAGTTGTATCCCCTCACAAACTTCCTATAATACCCGATGAGCCCCAAGAACCCCCTCAACTCCTTCAGGATTTTGGGTAAGAGCCACTCTAACATAGCCACTATCTAAGAAAGATTTGCAACTACTCCTGATTTAGACACCACATGTCTCAAATATTCTACCCTTTGTTGAGCAAAAGAAAACTTCTTCAAATTGCCATACAACTGATGCTCATTCAATGTTACTAACATGACCCTCAACTGCTCCACATGCTCTGCCTCAGACCAACTATACACTAAAATGTTATCGAAGAAAATTAATGCAAACTTGCGGAGTAGGGTTGAAATACCTTTTTCATAAGTGAATGGAAGATAGCTAGAGCATTGGTAAGCACAAAAGGCATAACTAAAAACTCGTAGTGACCTTCATGAGTCCTGAAAGCAATCTTGTGAATGTCAGCGGGCCGCATTCTGATCTGATGATATATTGATTTCATATCAATCTTGGAGAATATCACTGCTCCACATAACTTATCTAATAACTCATCAATGACTAGTATAGAAAACTTATTCAACACTATTTCCTTATTTAGAGCAAGATAATCTACACAAAATCTCTAGCTACCATCCTTCTTCTTCACTAGCAACACAGGGCTGGAGAAGGGACTACACTTGGACGAATAATCTGGGCCTCCAACATCTCATTAATCTCTCAATCTCATCCTTCTGAACCAGTGGGTATCAATAAGGTCGAATACTAAAAGGGGATACCCCCTCCTTCAAGATGATGGCATGCTCATGCTCACTTTTGGGAGGGAGGGGGGCACTGAGGTAGCTGGAACACCTCACTAAATTTTTGCAGGAATGGTTGGATTATCTCTAGAACTTTCCCCTCTCTCTCTATGCTTCCCCCTTCCTTGAGGCTCTGGAGATCCACCAAGAATCTCATCCCTGCTCCTTATATTGCCCACACCATAGTCTTAAGAGAAACCCTAGTTTTGGACAGACTAGGATTCCCCTTATCCTCACCTTCCTCCCTCCCATCATGAATTCCAAATCAATCCTTTCCAGTCTACCTTGGTTTCTCCCAATGTCTGCAACCACTTCATGCCCAAAATTACATCTGCGCTCCTAACTCCAAGGAAAGGAAATCCTTAATCACCTGAATCTCTTGCAATGTCACCATCAACCCTGGGCAAATGCCTCTACTCTTCTTATCTTCCTCGTTCCCATCATCACCCAAAACAGCCCGTGTCGACAAGCATCAGCCCCAATCGATCCACAACCTGGTTGGAGATGAAGTTGTGGGCCGTCCCACTGTCCAGCAGAACTACCACTAATTCTCCTCCTATTTTTCTCGTCACCCTCATGGTGTGATTTGAGGTAAACGCCACCAATGAGTTTAGGGAAACCTCCACCACATCTAGGTGTAAATGCTCCTCAACCGCCTCCTCCTTTATAGTATCCTCCTCATCACAAACTGTAATGACCTGCAACGAACGGTCCTTGAAGCAGTGACCCAGTACAAACTTCTCATCACAATGAAAACACAATCCCCTAGCCCACTTCTCCCGAACTTCTGCCTTAGTCAGCTGCTTGAAATTTCTCCCGCGTTGTGCTCCAAATCCCCTATCCTTGGGTACTTCTCTCTGAATGGGCATAGGTTGTACCTTTGGTGCAAAAAATTAGCCGTCGTCCAGTTTGAAACTCCCAAATTGCTGCCCTTGCTGCTTCTCTCAAGTGATTTTTTGTCCTCCACCAACTAGGCTAGCTCCATAGCCTCCCCCAACCCTCATGGCCTAAATAACCGAATAGTAACCCTGATCTCTAGCTTAAATCCCTTCACAAAACTCCCCTCCAAAACTATCTCAGATAGCCTACCCAATCAGCTAGAAAAGTACTCAAAACTCTCCTGATAACCCATCATTATCCCTTCATGAACCAGAGCGTAGAAGTCTCCTTCCCGACTAGTTCGAAAATGCTTTAATAAACTATATTTGAACTTTCTCCATGATCGGATTGGATTTCTCATGTCTCTCCACTGATACCAAGACAATGCTTTCCCCTCCAAGCATAAAGCTGTTGCCGTGAGCCTCTCCTCCTCCGTCAGTCCATTCACTGCGAAGTATCTTTCCATCATATATATCCACTCATGAGCATCTTCCCCCTAAAAAATAGGCATTTTCAGTTTCTTGCTCTCAGATCTCCTCCGCCCCAACTTCCTCTTCCATCTCCAGGTCTTCCCATATAGCAATTGTTGTGATTTTTCCATTATACTCTCTCATTCTTCCTCCTTTCATAGATATCATCTTCCTCAAAATCAACCCTCCTTGTTTCTTCCTCCCAATTTCTACTCATGTTATATCCTTCACCCATTTCCCTCTTAGTTATCAGTTCAAGATGTGTCAAATTTTTCATGCCGCCCAAGATTTCTACCTCTCGATCATCCCTCATTATGCCGATATTGGGGTTTCTCCCACTTCCTTGTCCACCCGCCAATGCCCTCACCATCGATGTTGTCGGTTGGGTGTGAAGCTCAAATATTTTTTTCATCATGTCCTCTAGGTTAGAAAACCTTCCTCTCATGGATGAAATCCTTTCCTCAATTTTAGATTTGACCAACTTCTCCTTCTAGTATCTCTTCCAATGCATCCACTTTTTTCGACGCCATAGATCCCGAATAGTGCTCTGATACCAATTTGATAGGAATTTGTCCTTCACACAACAAAAACAACAAGAACAAGATAAAACTCGGCAAAATTTAGCAAGAAAGATGTTTATTTACTATTCGACAGGTAGATCGATTTTCCACAAACCCTAGGCACCACTAGGAACAACTCCAAAGAAATTATAGCAAAAGCACATAACATGCTAAAATAAAACAATCCTATTAACCCTCATATAAAGCTTCCTACTTATCTCCTTATTTTGAATTCAAATCAGTCCAAATCCCTTAATAAACGCCCCTTACATCTTTCCCAATGAGATCCCCCAAAGTCTCTTCTCCTATAGGTGATAAAGGAGGTCATGAACCCCATAGGAGAGCTGAAAAGTTCTTGATCTGCTGAAAAGTTTGTTGGCCCCACATCAGAAATATAAGGTCCCATTAGCTACGTCATGGATATTTTTTATCACGTAAAATACAATATAAAATATATCTACTGTTTTAGCAGTTTAGCTTTCTAATCTGGCTACTCCAAAATGCTTATCAAGCTAATAAGGCCCATACAAAAGTCAGACGTAGCAGAGTTATGCAGCACAGCCAGAGTATTCAAAAAAGGGCAGATAAAAAGGGAAAAAGAGGGGAAAGGAGAAGAATTGACAATGGAAAAAGAGGATGGAGTGGAGAAATGGAGGGAATGGGAAAGGAACACGAAGAATGATAGAAAAGGAATAATGATTGGAGCTTGACATAAAACAGTTTGGTCTGAGGATAAGGAATGGAGGTAAGTAGGGTGAAAATCATCCAAACTTTCTAATGAGAAAAAAGGAGAATCAGTAGATTGTACAAAGGCTTAAGTTGGAGAAAAAGGAATTGCAATAGCAACTCCATATGTAAATCTTTGTTAAAAAAAAGGGTCCAGAATGCACTATGCTGCTATATGCATGGGGCTTGAAAGTCCTCTGGTCGGTCCTTGTTATTCATGAGATCTATGTTTAATGTAAATATAATACTACACTTGACAAATTTCAGAAATTCTTCTCTATCATCAATATGAAGGAAATCCAGAGAGTAAAGTTGAATGATCAGTGATTTTCTATCTTTCCTAGTGACAGTTCTAATGTGATTCATTCTGTCAAGCTTTTTATATTGAAGAGTATTTTCAAAAGTTATATTTATGACAAAATACATTATTGTCCTAATGCAGGTTTCATTACTGTTTTAAGCTAACAAATAAAACTAGATGCTCCAAAAAAAAATTCAAATCGGAAATAATAGAGTATTAAATATAAGACCGGTAGTTAAAAACACTCTTAACGTATCAATTATTTCTTGCTTTCCAGGGTAACCTGCCTAGCAATGGTCTATTTCTATCTCACAAAAGTTTCTTAAGGATTAAACATTAAGATTTAAAATCAGCACGCGAACCATCAAAACCCTGTGAAAATGAGAGGAACAAAAAGAGGATTGACATAAATAATGTAGAATTGACTATGCATCTATTTGTACATAAGATAAGAGTAACAATATATTTTGCAAAATAACATAATATAGAGCATATGTAAGAGAAGAAATCCAGTGAGAATTTAAAAACAAAAACCTCTTGAAGAAGGCAACCGCAGGCACAGTTGTGGAAGTGTTGAGCTTAAGTAACCCATCCCAGATTTTTTCAGAAATTGCTGGGGATACTCTGCCATTTGTAGGCTTGTTCTGTTCGTCCATGTTAGCAGGAATTCCATCACCAATCTTGGTAATCCTTTCACTATTTAAGCAATCATTAACACATAAACTTCTCTCAACTAGAGGCCTATTATTATATTCGGTGGCGTTTTCATCCTGTTTCCCCAAATATCTGTTTTCAAGATCCTTCGAAGTATAAGCATCGTTCTTCTTCAGCTTCTCCTTTTCAAGACAAGCTACCTCATGACCAGAAGGTTCTAATACTACGGGTAAACGAGGAATAATCACACCACGCTGCTGCTTTTCTTGGGCATGCAAGAAAGTCCTCAAAACATCATAGTTATATTCTGAACGGAATCCACTTGGTTCTGACTGTCTGGCACATGCAATGTGATCAATGTCTTGTAAGTTGGAAACTTCCTTCTTGAAAGTTTCATGAAAAAAGGCAGATTCCTTCTGTTGAAAGTAGGGTTGTCTTGGATTGGAAAACAGCCCCTTATTAATATTTTCAAAGTCAGGCTGCCGCGGCATAGAAAAAATATTCCTATCATAATACTGATTATTTCCAGTACGTATTGTAGAAACATCTGGATGATTTTTACCATCCAAATTCATAAATTTTCTACTCTTCGATGTCTCTTCAAGGCTATTCATACCGATAAAATAACTGGAAGGTGTAAAATCAGTATTCTGCAAATGAGGTGCAACAGGACCACCAGAACTAAAATTCACACTTCGATCAGGGAAAAGCATGTTTCTTTCCTTGTCCAACATTTTTCCTTGAAAGGTAGACTTTATCAAGAGAAGATAATGATCTAGACCTGCAGGGAAGAATGCAAATCAACAAAGACCATTTACAGCATTGTCGCCATATCATCATCATGAATAGTAGTACACCAAATTTTTGTGGCCAGCTTCACAAATTCTCATTCTCATTTCTTACCGAGTGTTATATGAAGTGTTAAATTTGCTTTGAACAAATCTTTTTGCATAACTTCAAGTTCATGCATATCTTTTGTTGTAGGTGAACAAAAGACTCAATTATATTTCTATTATCTTATTTTCAATAGTATACTCACTCTACCCCTTTAATTGAAAGTTCTCAATAGAAAAGCATGTACTAAAAAGCACAAAGTCATTAAGAACATAAGCATATGCATAGTCAGTAAGCTCAGAAAGAATTGCACAAGATTAATTCAATACCCTGATGATATCAGTACAATTACGGTTTAATGATCTACATCCAAACCAAAAGGGTGATAGAACATTACTTCACAGAATGTCCAAAGACAACATTTTGACCGCATAAAATGTAAGCAAAAATTACCAGATCAAAGAATTTCTATGTCAGAAACAGGACTCCCAACAGAGCACAAAGCCTACAAAAACTAATTGCCTTCAAATACATAAAATGTGGTCAAAGATGGCTGATGTCGTATGTTGGGGAACCAAATTATCACGCAATGATGGAAAATGCCTCGGATAGCAAAATGATTGAAAAAAAAAATTACAGATGAAAAGTTTAACTTAGTTTTAACTTGGTGTACCAAAAGAGTAGGTTAGTTCTTATAATACTTGAACTCCATTTCATTTAAGTGCTAATAAAATGTTCAATGTTGTTATGAAGATAAGCATAAGAGAAATACATAAAAGTCAATCAGTGATCAAGCTGATCAATGATGATTATTAACTCAAATGAATGTAATTCGGAAATGTTCAAGGTAGTTTAGCTACATTGAATCGGCTTTTTAAGTTTCTTCTCAAATAAGGTTTTAAGAATCGCCCTTAGTTTTCTTCAGCTAAACTCAAAAATTAATAAAGGAAAATCTTTTACTAGATAAAATTCACAACTGAATAAATGTGTAATGATTAATCTAACCATAGGGATGATGTACGTCCATGAACATTTAAGAGGTAATCTTACAGGGAAATTCATTTTCCAACATCTAAACATACCAGTTTCCCTTCTAAAACTTCTACATCGGAAAGCCACTTAGGCTTATCAAATAAAAAATCCAATAATCATCTGAAACATAGAAACAGAATAATCTAATTTGTCCAACCAACATATTTTTGCTAATTATGCAAGTATCCAAGTTATTCGTATTATGCATTTGCACATCATAATTTAAGAAAAAGGAAAGGAATAATCACCTTCGAAGGAGGCTCACAAGGATTAAAATGACAATAATACAACAATAACATCAAGCCTTTATCCTTATGTGGGGTCAGTTATATAATCTTTTTTCTCCATTGTATCATGTTAAGTGTCAAATTCTCATTTAAATCTAAAAAAGAAAGGTCATTTCTAATATTTATAACCAAATCTTTTTAGGTTTACATCTACCTTTCTTAACCTAAGCCAAATATAATACATCTACTCTCCTAAACGGGTCATCAGAAGGCTGTCGTTTTATGTAACCAAACTATCTAAGGTGACTCTCTCTAATCTCAGCTTCCACTGGAGCTACTCCAACATTTTCACGTATATGACCATTTCATATCTTGTCTATAAGAGTAAAGCCACTTATCCACCTAAGCATCCTCATCTCTGCCAACCATTAAAAAAGCGGACGAGGCGTCCGCATTGAGTCGCGCCTCAAGTCGAGGTGGAGGTCATGCGTATCGGGGCTTACACCTCGAACCATCCAGCAAAGCCTACGATTTTTTCGCACGAGACGTACGCATTAGAGCGTAACGCCTCGAGGCAGTATGAGGCACCGCCTCAAAATTTTTTCTTCGGTATATATGTAAATACAACGCAGCCGATTCGTGTTCGTGTATTCGCGTATAGAATTAGTGCTTCCTGTGAGAATTGAAATGCAAACTAGAGGCGAATCCGTGAGGGAAAGAGACGAAGCCGCGAGGGAAGGAGACGAAGCCGTGAGTGTAGGAGACGAAGTCGGAAGAAGACGACGCAGGGAAAGAAACGAAACCAAAGTTGTGAGTGCAGGAAACGTTCAGGCATCGGTTAGGTCGGAAGAGCAGGTACGCTGTGTTGTGGCCTTGACTTGGACGTGTAGTAACGAAAGCTTGAATAACTCCTGATTCGGCTTTCTTTCATTCGTTTGCTCAGTACATGCTCCGTACCTCTCAGTACATGCTCGGTACCGCTTAGTACATGCTCGGTACCGCTTAGTACATGCTCGGTACCGAGCCAGTACCGCTCGGTACCGAGCAGGTACACGCTCAGTACCGAGCAGGGTACACGCTCAGTACCGAGCAGTACATGCTCGGTATGCTCGATATTGAGCATATACAACAAGCCGAATTTCAAAATTACTCTTATAATATAATTTTGTTCCGGGGGCACTGCCCCCGGTACTTCTCTTCTTTGACATTAATTATGAAGATTCTTCTGAAGACAATCAAAGTGATGATGAGCCTGCTTTGGGTCTTGATCCTAAGGGGATTGAGTTTATTTTACATCTTGTATTCCAGTAATATTATCTTAAAACAAATCTTCAAATTCATAGTTGACATAATATTTTGTTATATTTTGTCATTATTTATAATTTTAAATTAATTTATTTTAATCGTTTCGAGGCTTACGCCTCGATCCGCCTCGAGGCTTACTCCTCGCCTCGCTTAGAAAAAACACCTCGATTCCCGATTTCGCCTTTTAAAACCTTGAATTCTCTGCAACACTTAACTTAATATTATGCTTCTCTTTTAATGGCCAACATTATGCACCGTAAACCTTGCAGGTCTCACCACCATCTTATAGTATTTTCCCTTAAATTTGAGGGGGATTTTTCTATCACACAACAAGCCCGATGCATTCCTACACTTCAACCATCCAAATTGAATTTTACTAATAATATCACAAACTATTTTACTATCACTCTGAACAATAGACCAAAGATATCTAAAATGTGCACTCTTATTAATGACTTGATTGCCCAAAGTCTCCATCCCCCATTGAATCTATTACTGCTAAAATTACTCTCCATATATTCGGTTTTAGATCTACTCGGGAAAAAAAAACCTTTAAACTATAAATGTGACCTCCATAATTCAAATTTATCTTCAATTCTCTCTCGTCTTATCAACAAGAAGAATATCATAAGCAAAAATCATACAACAAGGTAACAATCTCTTGCAAATGTCTAGTAAGAACATCCATAACTCTCTCCAATAGTTTTAAATGATGACACATTAACATAAATCTTCTATAATTCACAAATCTTCTGCATCATCTTTATTCTTAAAAATATGAATCAACACACTCATTCTCCACTCATTTGGCATCTTTTTAGTTTTCAAAATAATATTTAAAAGTATAACAAGCCAAAAAAATCCTTCATCTCCTAAGCATTTCCACACCTCTATTGGAATATCATCAAGTCCAACAGCTTTTCCACACATCATTTTTTTAAAGCCTCCTTAACTTTGATTTTACTAATATGCCGATAAAAATAAAAATCTCTATTTTCATTAAGGATGCTAAGGTCAATAAAGTCAATCTTATTCTCACAATCTTCAATGAAAAGCTTAGCAAAACATCTCATCCATCTTTGTTGAATATCCTCCTCTAATAAAATAACTTTTTTATCTTTATCCTTAATACATTTCACTTAAACTAAATCCTTACTATTCTTATCTCTTTGTTTGGCTAAACTTATACATATATCTTTCATCCTCTTTAGTATCAAATATATTATATAAATCATTAAAAGTAAAATCTTGGCATCACATATTGCTTTCTTAGAATCCTTACGGGCTTCTTTATATTTTTCCCAAATTTCCAAAGTTTTTACATCTACACCAATTTTTATAACAAAGTTTATTATTATTTATCTTTTCCTGCACATTTTGATTCTAAATTACAATGAAGTATTAAAATTAGTTGTTTGATAAAGAACCGTGGGATAATGCCAACCATATATAACTTTGAAAATCAGGCATATGGATTTTGTATCTTACGATTATACATACATATTACAAATCATGAGTAAGAAATTTAAATTTAAAGAAGTATCTACCACAAAAAGTAATTATAATTAAAGAGTTCGATAACTACAATAAATCTAAAAATATATGCTTCACATTTTTAGCATACTCAATTGCCTTAACATATACTTCGGGAAGTGCCTTCAAGAAATTCATGGGCTCAGGGATGATAAGGGAATATTAAAAATCATAGGTAATATATTCATAATATCAAAGAGTAAAGATATGCCACAAAAAGTAATCTGATGGACTGGCTGAGCCTGTAGGCCTCACTAAGGTAGACGGCTAGCAAGGATAGAGGGGCGTCAAAGGAGGATTAATTACTTACCATAGAAGACCAAATTGGGAAGGAATTAAGAATATTTATTTAGGAAAAGATGGTTGATTTGACTGTGAGGAAATTATGAAGGTTTATTTAGGAAAAGATGGATAATTTGATTGGGAGAAAATTATGAAGGTTTATTTAGGGAAAGAAGGTTGATTTGTGTTCAGATTTGGAAGGGGATTAGGAAGGATTATTTAGGGAAAGATGACTGATTTGAATTCAAATTATGGAGGGAATTATTTATGAAAGATGACTGATTTGAAATCAAGTTTGGCAGGGAATTAGAATAGCTTATTTAGGGCTAATTATGTTACTTTATTTTCATAATGTGATTTTGTTTTATTTTGGAGTTATTCATAGCAGCGCCTAGGATTTGTGAAGAGCCAATTTACCTCTCGAATAGTAAATCAATTTACATATTGATTTCTTGTACCTTTTATCAAAGAGAATTAGCCCATAATCTTCCTTTCTTGCTGATTTCTACCGCATTTTTCCTTCAGTATTGTTGTTTTTGCTATGAAGAGATCGATCACTTCAGGCTTA